TATATATATATATATATAATTAAAAGATATTATCTTATTATGAAAATAATATCCGTCATATCGATAAATTTACAGATACATTTTTTATTCTACCATCTAATTTTTAATTAAGTTCCAAATACCGTCATTATCAAATAATTTATAAATAATTTATAGTAATTTTTTGTTTGCATTTAGCGTAAGACTATAAGATTTTACTTACTAAATTTTATTAAGTAAATTGATAATAACAAGTTAGATGCGTAATTCAGTCACAATATATTGATACCTGTAATTCGTGAGTATCCTCTTTTCGCACCAGTCGGCCCAATCCTTGCATTGAAAATATTTTTATCATTAATGACAGCTGGCGTCCAGGGTTCAAGATCAGGAGCGTCCGGAATATTGTACAGAGAATTTGTACATTCGTGAACATTTATCGACGTAAAATCGATACGAATATCCTCAGTGGTCTTATCGAATCTTTCATGAGCATTGGCTTCGCCTCGCGCATTCAGAGATCCGATGGCAGCAATCACACTTGTTTCCCTTTCCGGAATCATTCTGTCCTTCTCTGGCTCATTAGTCCTTAGTGGACGTGTGTACGTAACTGTAAATTGAAATAAATCACATATTAACAATAATTCCTCGTTTATATTTTAGTTAATTCAATGATAATTACAAAGTAATCAAAGGAGTATACAGTCACGCGTAGAATCGTTTCTTAGTGTAAAATCATATATGTATATTTAAATTCTTTAAAAATATAAATTCAATCAAAAATATGAATTCAAGCAATAAACATTTCGATCAAGATTAGGCCATCTTTGATATATAATTAAAATTTGATATATAAATTAATAGAAAATTATATAGTAAATTGTCAAGATCTTAAAATAGTCATAAACGAAAAAGTGGTAACAATAATAATTCTCCGTTTCATATACTTTAATTAACTTTATATAAAACACACACACACACACACACACACACACACACACACACACACACACACACACACAAAATTCAAATTATATAAATACATCCAGAAATAGTTTTTAGTTCTCATATTAAAAATCGCAAATACCTATGGAAATTTTAAATAAATTTTCAATTATTTAAAATTTCTATATATTTATGCAGTAAAAAATTTTTCATGCATGAATAAACATACATAAATATTTATAAATATGCATAATTATATGAAATTATATGCATCATTATATGAAATACGTTCATACATGGTTATACATCCCTCTTTTTTTTGTAAAATTATTTTATTAGTTTAATATTTTAGTATAATAGAAATAATAAAAATAATGTGTGAAAAAAAAATTAAAAGGATAATTTTTACACTTTATTAAAAAAAAAAATCAAGTTTAAAGAAAGAAAAAAATACTTATGTATAATTATATAAAAATTATGCATTATTGTGTATGAGCAATCTTTTTACATTTGTTTTTTTTCTAAAACGAACAATGCGAAAATTATCCCTTTAATTATTTTTTACACATATTTTCACATATTACTATTATTATTTCTATTATACTAAAAAGTAA